GGGCGCCACAAGGCAAAAATCCACAACCTCCACTTTTTAGTGGAGGGGCGTCCCGGTCATTTCGCGCTTTCAGTTTCTCCTATAAATAGGACCTTAGATTTTCGTTTTTCTTCATCCAGAATTAGAATTCTCTAGGCATATATCAGTTATAAAGCAGTTGCCATTCCACATCGGGGTGCCTCTGCAATCGAGTGATCGAGTCTGTAATCTGTCTGTGGTTCGAATTTTGGAGCACTCTGGAGGAAGTTAATCCTGCCGCCATTTTAATTCCAGTTAGTATTTTATTTTTCCGCATTGCTTTACTTTTATTTATTTACTCGCACATTTACTTTGTTTATTTCCCGCACTCGCACATTTACTTTGTTTATTTCCCGCACTCGCACATTTACTTTGTTTATTTCCCGCACTCGCACATTTACTTTGTTTACTTCCCGCACTCGCACATTTACTTTGTTTACTTCCCGCACTCGCTTTAAATTACTCATATGAAAAACTATAAAAAGAATATTTACTTTATCATGTCTAACTAATCCCATAAAGGTTAGAATGTAAGGATCGTAATTAAACCAGTAATCAGTATAATTGTTCGTGGAAACACCTAAGGGCTATTTTATCTTTCAATTCAAGTAATTGTTTTTAACTATTTCAAAAACAGCCAAAAGCGCTTTGTATAGTTCATTAGGAGTTTTTAGATTAAAAAGAAAAGAGATTTTAAAACGATTTTCGGACGCGTTATGAGATTTAGAGTCTGGTTCATAAGAACCTCTTTTTGCTAAGAAGTCCAGGTTAAAATACTTTTCAACTTTGTTAAGAAACTATATTTCTTAAAAATAGGTTTACTACTCTAACGCAGTACGCACCTTTTTATCCGTGACAATAGGAGGGGTTGATTAGAGAGTACAACTCGGTTCTGAATACGCGAAAGCGACAGTTCCTGTTAAATTAGTTCTTTTCAAAGGAGAAAACATTGCCCATAAGTAGTTCCATTAACAAGTACTGGATTATCATTGATTACGTGAATTACATTCGAGCCTGTCTTTTATTTATTATTTAAAATTATAATTTTATTCACCATTGCACCCTTATTAAAACCCTTAAAAATAGTTGCCTTAGATAAACACCATAACAACAGGTACGATAGATTGACACTTGGTCTCTGTGGATTCGATAATCTTTTATATTACTTTGACGTGATTCGTACACTTGCGAAAAACACGCATCAGTACCCATAAAGTGCAATATGGAATCAAAACCCCGTAGTTCATGGTACAAATGACAAAATTTTGTTGGTTTTGATTGATTTTAGATGTAAAGATAAGTCGTCATTTCAAGGAGGAAACTGCGACTATCCACCCACGAGTATTAAGACAACATTTGCGTCACATAAAGATGGAGGATTTGCTTGGATTATCAACAAGACTATCACTCAACATTCAACGTGGAAAATGTCAAAGTCTTAATAATATGGGGAATAGGAGATTTACATCTCAACTATAGAAATGAATCATATCTAAACTTTATGAAAAGTTTTAAAGTGAAAAAGTGCATAAAGGCACAAAAAGAGTTGATGAGTTTTTGTATTTTTTATGTCTTTTGAAATTGGTCAAAACATGATTAACATTGATTGACTTTTATTAAGAAAAAACAAAGTTTAAAAATCACTTGACGAAAGTCAAGGTTTTATTGCGAAATCGGTTTTGAAGTTTGAAACCAAGAAGGTTTTGAAAGAGGGAGAAAGTTTTGAAAATTTAAGAAGGGGAGAAGATGAAGTGACTATCCTAAAAACCAAAATAAGAGCTAGAGGTAAGAAAGATCTAACCGACTTGTAGCACACTCCATAGCAAGCAAAAAAGAATTCCATCTGATTTAAAGCATAAGCTAATGAGCGAGCCAAATAAAGGCTAAGATCCACAATACTCCAAGCAAAGGAATGAGAGCCCTAATTCTAAGTCCAAAGGTCCATAAAGTCCAAAGTCTAAGAATGGTCCAAGAGTATAACCACAAAGTTAATAGCACCAAAATTTTTAGATGTTTTATCCTTTATTAATGTTTTGAACAAAGTATGGTCCAAGTGGACAAAAGAAAAATGACATAAACATAAACAAAGATATGGTATGAAATGATAAAATGGAAGCATAAAAGTAAAAAAAATAAGGAGTAAGAAGAGAATATAAACAAAATTAAACAAGGATATTGTTAGTGAATTAATAGTTAGTGGTTAGAACATATGATCAATGATGATTAATTCTTGCACTTAGACCAAGATTAATGAAAATTCATTAGAGGATTGATAGAATCAAAGCCTCCTAACAATGATTTTCATAGGTATTGGAGTTAAGACAAGCAACTAATCATACTTGGACTTTTAAACGTAAGTTTGAGTCACGAATGATCATTTTTCGATTAAGGGACACTTTAGCGCTATGTTAAGCAATCGTAATCGGGTTTATGTAGAAACCACGACTATCTGAGGCCGGTCAATAAAATGTTAGTGTTAATACATGTTAGAGAAATGATATATAAATCACTCTCCTAAAACATGCCACACAAAAAGAAAAGAGGTAGTGATCTCATCATAATCAAGATTTTTAATCAATTAATCAAAGGTAATCTATCACTATTCCAAAGTACGGAGAATTATCTCAATGATTATTCATCCATAGATTTGAAATAATGAAGATTAAACAACCTTGATAATCAACAATCTATGATCCATAGATTTCATCGATCAAAAATAAAAAGAAAAAGAAAGAAAATGAAATCACAATTTGAATCTCGAATCGATTAAATTATCATCAATATCAATCACCTCTCTTGGTGGATAAAAATCAACACCCAAAGTCCATTGATATTGATGAAATCCTATCAAAATTCAAGATCCAAAACCACCAACAATTGATCAAAATGTTTTCAAATAATTTTTTAATGCTTTCTTTTTTCAAGAATATTATTATTATTTTATAAAAAATAAACTAATAACAATATAAAAAAAAGAAAAGATAAAAAAAGAATAAATAAATGAAAAAAACAATTTAAAAGGAGAAAGAGAACAGAAACTTCATCTTCTCCTTTCTTCTTCACGGTAACTTCTTCACACCATTTTTTGCGAGCTCAAAGCTTGCTCAGATCAAAGCGACGGGATGCGAAAATCACACCGAACAGATCGAAATCAAAAATTCTTCACAACAGTACCAACAGTTTAAAGAATCATAACAAAAGGTAACGGATCGAAAATGACGGTGAAGCTCAATCTACCTTCAAACTCAGGTAAGAAATCAATCCAAACTTCTTCTTGCTTCTCTTCTTCTTCTGAACGAATCTCTGGTTGAATTGATCTGTGTTTGAGGTTGATTTGAAGTTAATTTGGTGGAAGGAAGTATGAGAAGAGAATGTGAGCAAAAGGTTTTGTATTGAGGAATTGAGGAAGAAAATCAGCAGAGATTTTTTGGCTTGAAAAGCTTGAAGAAAAGAGTGAATAAGGTGTTCTATTTATAGATGAGAATGGGTGAAACTGATTTGCCGTTTGTGAGATTTTTTTCTGCGTTTTGGGATGCAAGTTATGTGTGACCTGTTGTGATATTTTTTCATGTCGTTTTTGCTTTCACATTTGTAGCTCATCACGTGTTATTCTTTCTTTTCACTTTTTCAGCTCACTTGGGTGACGTGGATTATTTTTCAGCTGGCTCATATGCTATTTATTTTTTGTTTCAGCTTGTGAATATGGCTTGGTTAATGGCTCATATTGATTGATGGCTGAAGTAGTGATATATTTCACTTATTTCATATGGACTCAGTTCCTCTGGTGCAGGACTGGAGTTTTGCGGTTGTTGCTGATTCTGAATTATACAGGGATCGAGTTCGGTAATACGGCAAAACCGTTCATACCAGAATCTTCCTGCCGTGATTTAGAGAAACTACAAAAGGTAACTTTTGAGGAAACGTGAAAATTCACCGTGCTTTTGGCAATTGCACCGCATATCCAAACACACCCTCCACTAATGCCAAGACTAATTCCATCTCGAGCATGAGCAGTCACAGTTTCTGCATTAAAAATCCCATCCCCATGGTTTGTACTGCTGACTCCCACTTCACCAGGGACACTTTCAGTTGCTGTTTGTAAACATGTGCTTTGCTGAGCTTGAATGCTGTTATTCAGCTCAGAGGTTTCATTCATGTCAACATTGCCATAGGTGCTAGAGGAGGGGAAATGGACATCATCAAGGTCTCCAGGGTAGTTTTCAACACTTTCCATAGAATCATCATTTATACTATGATATATTGTGTCCATTGCAATGACATTTCGCTGGGGTGTTTCATACGCAGAAGATGTAGGTGGTGCCATGGATGTAGCAAAATGTGACTTTTGTCTTTCTTTTTCAAGATTACCGGAATGAATATATTTTTCAAGCTGTTGAATTTGCTTATTCAGCCGTGACCTGTCTTGGCGAAGCTTTTCTATCTGCACAGAACTGAGATTTTCAACATTGTCAAGCAATTCATTAGAGATTGCAATAAGATTATCCTTGAACTCCTGCAAATGACTTGCTGCTTCAGGACATAGCCCTAACTTGTATCCGTGTATGCAATCCAAGCACAGCTCTGGTGGCAAAAAAGCATCTCCCTGTCTGGCAAAGTTATCGTTACCTGGAGTTGGTGCAATAGAAGGAAACTTGGACATCGGGGGTTGAAGAGTGCATGAGGACTGGTATTTCTCAACAATTTGGTCAACATCAATGCTCTCGAGTATGTCATCGTCATCAATATTAATATTATCAGCTACAAATTTTGTAGACTCTTTGGGTTGGCTAGTGTACTTTGTGTGATTGTTCACTGCGCCATCTAAAACCCGAGAGGTATGATTAGTGACAACTGGAGTTGCTGTGACATTAAAATGGTTAAGCTTGTCATTCCCATAGCTTCCTTGGAAGGAAGTTGTTGTCCTGTCGTTGTGAAACTGAGGAGTAACTTTAACATGTTTTCCAGGTTGGACATAATTCCTGCTAGATATCTGTAGGTTTGAAAGAGAAAGCCAATAGATTGTTGCTTTTCAATATTGTTTCCACCATCAGACGTTGCTCGGCCGTCATATCTGTTTCCTGTAACAATGAAGAGAGTGCAATAATTGCATGCATCGGAGTTCTCATCTCGTGATTCATAACAGCCAAAAAGTCATTGCGAGCATGAATTGAAGTTTCGGCTTCTCTTCTAGCCATATTAAGTGCAACATTCTGCTCCATAAGCTGGTCCCTTGCTCTCATCGACTCTTCTAAAATTGCAGCATGCGAAAGCGCAACAGCTACCTGATCGGCAACTACCTCAACGAGCTCTAACTCATGTACGTGCCACTGTCTAGCACTATCAGATGGAAGCATCAAAACCATCAAAGCATAGCTTCTAGTTGAAACCTCGGGCCAATCATATATTTGAAAATTAGAAAGATTTAAGAGAGGCACTCGGATAGCAACTACAGCTCTCGGCATATATTTTGCAGTATGGGGCCGTAATCTAGCAACTGGAACATTTGATGAAATTTTAACCGCGCGGTTGCTACTAAATACTTGGTTAATCACAGGAAGATTGATAGGTACTGTATATCCAACAGGATTCTGCTGTCGCAGCGTGTAAGAGAGTTGAAGCTCCAACCCAGTACGTGTCGGCATCCATAACGCACATTCCTCTAGTCCAAGAGTTCTCCCGAGTTCAACAAGTGTTGTTTTCAGTATTGTATGTCTATCAAGAGTACTTCTAATCTCATGAGTCAACATCCTAACATGTCGACCGGTTTCTTCCTGCGTACGAATCATACCCATTTCTCTATCAAGATCAGCAGCCTTTTTCTTCAAAAATAACTTCCTAGTTTTAACGCTTAATAGATCAGGAATAATATGCACATGCATAAGGGCAGTGGCGCAAGATACCGCAGCAGTTAAAATCTTAGCGGTGGCCATTACAATCGCCACGGTTCTCGTATGAATTGTAAAGGTCCATAAATTAATCAGATGTGTTGCTCCACATAGAACTATGAAGGCACCAAACTGAACAAGAACCCATCTATACGGAAATACCGCTGATTTCTTAACAAAGTAAATAAGCTCGAGCGGGATTGAGAAATAAGCAAGGGCAATGAAGAAATCGGAGATATATTGATACTTCATTAATAAATCATCCGCCGGCCATTGCGGCTCCACACAATTGCAGGATTCCATAGTGATCGAATTGAACATTGAACCACCTCACCCGATTCACCCTTTATCACATAAATGGAACTGAAATGAATATAGCTGCCAAACACAGGCGATTCACATGTCGACGTGCATCTAGATTGTCGAGTCCATTAAGAACAACATTAAATTCCTTAAAGAAGTCCACATCGAAATCAGGATCTTTGACATTTGCATGATATGATGTAATGTTTATCTCAGGCCTAAATTTTAAAACAGCATCCCTAGCAACTTTAGCCTTGGACTGCCCAACATGGGATTGTCGGAACAAAAATTGTCTGTTCAGGTTACTGACTTCTATAGTGTCCATGTCAATTATGTGTATATCAGAGAAACCAGAGAGAGCGAGAGTCTTGAGAAGCTCGCATCCAATTCCACCGGCATCAACCATGAGATCTTGATTTCGTTGAAACACCAACTTGACTATTTCCACATACCTCTGATAAAAATGAACACAACTACTCATGTACCAGGACATTACTTGCACCTTCAATTTGGACCAAACTTCTCATTGAACATTGCTTGATAAACCAATGAATTTCAACACAAGACAAATTGACCATGAACGATCACAATTCCTGAGAAAATATCCTACCACCACGGGTAACTTATAGTTGAAGCAAACTCTTGATAGTTTGACCAAAATGAGGTCAAACGTCCATCTGATTTAAACTTGAGTGAATGTCTTTACCATCAATCTCCTTGCAAAATCCTAAACACACAGAGAAGAAGAAGAAACAAACAAATTGAAAAATATTTTTTTGGTATTTTGGTTAGATGTTAGCAAACAGAAACAAACATAAAGCAAGTATGAAACAACAAGGGACCTAAGAAAAATAAAAAGTATGGTCTTGTTTGTGGAATGATATGCCAATGAAATGTGGGATCTTAGGGGTAAAAATTAGGGTATTACACAGCTGATTGTACTGGTTTCGACCTCTGCCCCGGCCTCGGCCTCGACCCCCAAACACTGCGCCTGCATCACCTTGACGGCGCCCACCGAAAGCCCTTCTGTTACTGCCAGCTGCAGTAGATTCCTCAGCTTGGAATCTTCCCTGTTTAATGTTGCTTTCAATCTTCTCTCCCATCAGGATTAAGTCTGAGAAACTGCCCAACGAAGTATGAAACAACTTGTCATAAAACATGCCAGTGAATGTTCCTATGAACATATCATTCATTTCTTTGTCCTCTAAAGGAGGATGAACTCGAGCCGCCATGTCGCGCCATTTCTGCGCATACTCTTTGAAGCTCTCGCCCTTCTTCTGGGACAGCCCCTGCAATTGGACCCGGTTGGGTGCCAAGTCACTGTTGTACTTATAGTGAGCCACAAACGCTTCAGCCAGCTGCTTCCATGTCTTTATCTGAGTTGGTTCCAATCCCATATACCACTCAAGGGAAGGACCAGACAAGCTATCTTGAAAGAAATGCATTAGCATCCTCTCATCGTTTGAATACGCCGACATCCTTCTGTAGTATGACCGCACGTGCACCTTTGGACAGGTATCCCCCTTATACTTGTCGAATGTAGGAGCTTTGAATTTGATTGGCACCCTCAGGCCAGGCACCAAACCCATTGTTGTCATATCTAAGCCAACAACACTTTGATTCACGACCCCCTTCATCTGCTCCTCGAGCATCCTGATTCTCTGAGAGTCATCCATAGGACCTTCGAAACCTCCACCGGAGAAAGCATCCTCTTGCTGGTCTTCTTGCCAATTACCATTCCCAGTTCCGTATCCATCGTACCCGTTGTTACGGCCAACTCTAGTCTGATTCATTACCGGGCCTCGCCCCCTGTTACCGTACCCCGGAGCGACTCCAACAGGTCTAAAAGCCATTAACCCAGCGCCATTTCCATTTCCGAATCCGCCATAACCCTGATTAGTCATACCATATCCGTCCTGTCCGAAGCCTTGAGCGTTGAAGCCGTACTTCCCAGCATGATCAAACCCCTGGTCATTGAAGCCAAATCCATTATTACCGAAGCCATTACCTCCCATATTATCACCCAGGTTGACATCTCCGAGCCCAACGTTGTTGACGACAGTCTCGTTACCAATTCCAATGTTACCGTTCCCGGCGGCAGCGCCGTTGTTCACATTGACAGCAGGTATGTTTACTACAGGTGGAGCCACTGGTGTGGGGGTACCATCCCCGTGAATAGTGTCGACTCGCACAGACTGATGATCCTCATTTCCGTGCCCAACATTTCTTACCAACAGAGGCTGCACCAAAGCTTGCAAATTCTCTTGTCCTTTCGCAATGGTCTCCATTGTCTGCATGAATAGCGCCAGCTTCTCACGCATGTCCTGCATTTCATTATGCATCTGATCCATAATTCTTCGGCAGTTGGTACGAGTGGAGTATCGGTGCGGGCGCTGACTTTCAATCCTGAAAAGACCTGGTACAGTGTAAGAAATGAGATACCGTTCAATAATCACCTGTAATGCAACATGAATGGGAATGCAATGCAATATGTGTCTGTGCATTAGGGAATATCATTCCCCGATTCTAGTGCGAATGTGTCAGTGTGGTGATAGTGACAGCAATACGAAGATCGAAGCCGAACCATAGAAAACCTCATATATTGTAGAGAAATCCATTAAGCCCAGAATACAATATCAATGAGTGTACAATAAGAAGGCATTACCTCAACCAACAATCCTGGTGATGGTCAGCGCTATGCAAATAAAGCATACACGTCAATACATGAAATGGTCAAGTACTCCCATATGCCTGGTACTCCTCTAGTAACTTCTTAGTCTCTGGATGACTTGGTCGGGTAAGCAGACCCTCAACAAGTAGATCTCTTCTCTTGAGAACACGTCGCAAATCACCAGCAGATTCTTCCCATGCCCCTTCTCCGAAGCGATCCTCTAGCTTCCGCTTCTGAGACACAGCTTCTTTCTTGCCTTCGATGGCCTTGTTCAATGCATTCTAGAGACTATATCTGGACATTACCTCTTCTTCATACTTCTTGGTGCTAGCCTTCAACTGTTCTTCGAGTTCAGAGATTTGCTGCTTCAATTTGTCTTCCCTCTTTTTGTTGTTAGTTAGCGTAGCATTCCATGTTTTGTTACAAGAAGAGATTTCCCGGTGGGCGGCATCGAGTGCTTTCTTTTTGGATTCCAACATGTCATGAGAGCTTCTGAACTCTTTCCCCAGACGCTCACGCTTCTTTTTCTCTTCGGTCAGTTCAACACCTAGCCTGTCTACTAACTCGATCTGCTGTTGGAAAGAATGCACAGCCTTGTTCTTCTCACTACGCATCTGAGCCAGTTCCTGTTCTAACTCTTCATTGATCTTCATCAAGACTTCTTTTTCTCTTACAACTTGTTCGTAGGCCTCCATGGTAACATTGGTTGGTTCTTCCACCGGAATATGAACAGGGACTGGTGCAGCTGGAAATGGCATCAGCAACTGACTTGCTCTCTCTTGGATCCAAACTTTGTAAGGTACATAAGCCTGACAATCATTCTTCCCCAACAGTGGCTTCCCTCTTCTGTTGATACGCATCCAGGCGTGCTGAAGCTTAGCTAGTAACTCTCCATTCAAATCACCGGTGAAGTACAGAGATTCCTGTACTTCCTCCTCCTGAGGCGGGTTCTTCAACGCGTATCCAAACTGGCGAACGAACAGAGATGGGTTGTAATTGATACACCCTTTTCTTCCTATCAACGGAACATTAGGATACCCCGAACAACTGAAAATAAGCTCAGACCCCAACAAGTCTCGGTCAAACCACTCAATGTCTTCAGAAGATAGTCTCATCAGGCGCTCTGGCCAGTCAACTGTAGTTGCACTATCCACAAAAGGTCCCTTCAGGGGGAGATGGCTCTTAAACCACATGTACAGCAAAGGCACACAACAAGAGACGTTCTTGCCTCTCCTATTCTCATTTCTGTAGTGCATCGAATGGTAGAAGTCCCCAATCAATGTGGGTACAGGGTTGCCAGCAGCAAATAAATGAAATGCATCCATGTCCACGAAATTCGGGAAATTGGGAAACAGCACTATCCCATAAATGCATAGAGCCAAAACAGCGTTAAAGACTACCCAACATCCATTCTTGGCGTATTCTTGAGCCTTACCAATCAGAAACTGGAGAGAAAAACCTGGAACCCCGCGCCAAGAAGTCATCAACAGCTCAGAAGCATTCATGTGCAAGGCCTTAGCTAAATCCTCCAACTTGGGCTCAGCGGCAGAGTGAATAAAGGGAACCTTATTCTGTACTGGCAGCTCAGTAAACTCTACATACTCTTCAATGGTAGGCCCCAAAATAAAGTCAGCGAATGTGAAACATCTCAAAGCAGGGTCATAGAATTGCATCAGTGTATACAGCCCATTCAGTTCATCATCAGTTGATTTGCGAACCAATCTCAACAGCCGTCCGTAACTCTGCCTGAAGCTTCTACGAACATCTTCATCAGCAAGAGAAATCAGACCCAGGAGGGGAGTAATATCAGGGATAGGTAACTTGTAGGCAACTGTCATCCTCAAACCAGCCATGATCAATGCTCAGAAGTCCGGGCACTAGAACCAGGGAATATGCAAATGCACCTGCAGCACAGACACACGTTAATGGGATGCAATGATAATGGTTATGCGAACAATGCAATGCAAGTAACATGCAACAGGGACCAAATGCCATAGCTGAGAAGCCTGAACCATATCAAAAGTCTCAGATAGACCCTCCAGAATTCCTCAAACCCTGGTCTCAGACAGACCCAATACAAAGCTCCAACACTGGTCTCTGATAGACCTCATATCATAACTCTGACTGGTCTCTGACAGACCTCATATCATAACTCCAACTGGTCTCTGATAGACCTCTCAACTGTCCATAAATACTCAGGATCTCAGATCGAGAAACAACCGGTATCTGAAGGTCTAGTTACCTGCATAACCCCAAGCCCCCTCACAGGTAGGTGTCCTAGTAACTGACAAAGGTATGGCATCCTATGCGGTCGTCGGCGTCACAGACT